GCACTATAGTTACAAGGGCACATTGCTGAGATTAGCCCTTTGTTGTTGTGTTGTTATCTGTCTCCCCCAAATCCACTTTGAGGTGGTGCAGCCATCACAACTAGGCGCATCCATTACAACCACCACTGGCTGTTACCACGTGAGTAGGGTTACAGGAAATAAAGGGGAGAAGGTGGAACACACTGTCACACCACCAGGCAAACTAGGTCAACAAAGTCTACCCATCTTTGACACCCTTGACTTTAAGAATCCTAAAGTGGAATATGTGGATGTACTTAATGCATGAGTGACATCAAACCACGTTTACTTACTTTTTCCAAATACTGAGTCCTAAAAGCTGAGAAAAATGGCTCGCAACGTTCATAAAAATGATTTGACCTGAATGGAATACGTACTGCTGATGGTATAAGGAAAAGATATGGCAATAAGCAGCAAGGTGAAAGCCATGAAGCGCACAGCCACATTAGCATGCTGAACTTTTCAAACAGTGACACAATTATTCTTTCAGTGCCTGTTTCTTCAACGCAATATCAGATAGAATTCCTTCACAGGCTTTAATGAACCATGAAATCAAGTTAGCCTTCTGTGAGACTAAAGGTACTGTATGTTATAGTATAGCTTAATGCAAAATACACGTGTTAGGAATATATTTCATTCCAAAAAATGAAGAATTATACCTGCCTTTTCACATGTGCAGACTGACTTTTTTTGAAGTATTGTCTTTAATTTCATCATTGTGTATTATCCTTGGGAAATAGCTTTCATTTCATTTCACCTGTGATTAATTTAGGCTCCCAAAATTGTAGTACCTTTGTGAAAGATATCTTGGGGCCTATTCTGCTGATAGAAAGAACTGGGAAATTAATTCAACCTGTGATGGCTTAAGCTGTTCCATTAACAAATAAGTGAACAAAAGAATCTTTTCTGAAAATAATAGTTATGCACCTAGTGTGATCGTTGTGGACATTTCTTAGTATTTATTCTGGAATCTGTAATACTAATGGATGACTGGAATGGTCCCATTTACAAAATAACAGCCAAATAAAAAGAGTTCAATTCAAAGCTGTGCAGTCCAGTAAATTATCACCTGTGTACTTGCAGGGGAACAGCTGAAAGTAGTCATTAAAGGTAGGCAGCGTCCCCAGTGAGCAGTTTTCACAAGTCTTTTTTCCAGAGGTTCTGGCTTCAGTTTGCAAGTGTTTCTGGCTTTTCTGACCCAGAGAGAGCTCAGGAAAACTTCCTGACAGGCTGAAGCAGGATAATTTTATCCAGAGCAGGTTGTAGCTTGCTTTGATTCCATCAGATGCTGAAGGAATATATAGGCTCAGAAAGGAATTAGGCAAATTCCTGGGCAGTGGATCTGTAAACAGCCACTAACAGGAATGGGCAGAAATATGCCCTCTAGCATGCTTAGCGCCCTGAATGGATGATGGGGGAGTGCAAAAACAACCAACCACAAGTAGCAGCAAAACTCAGCTCTTGTCTCTAAATACTGGCTCCCATTGCCCCTGTCAGGTGAGATGGGCTGTGTTCATAGCAGTATCAATTTCTGTTGCTATTTCCAAAGTAAGTGCTGAGAATGGGAAAGAGCTGGGACAGAGAGCCAAGGGAAGAGCCTTGGATGGTCACCACTGTTGCTCCTTTGTTTCCAGAAGTTATAAAAGGTGCATAAGAGTAATTGCTGGAGTGGAGAGCAACCTCCTCCCTTTCAGCAGAAGCAACACATTTGCAGTCATCCTTCAGTAGCCATGGGAGTCAGCCAGGCTTTGCAGATCCTTCTTGCAAGAAGTGCTGTCTTTTACTGAAGGAAGAATGAAGAGATTGGAGGAAGTTTCTATGGGGAGGCGATGGTGAATGAAAGAGAAGCATTTAGCTTCTCCAGGTAGTTTACAAATATGAAATACATCATCAGCCCTCTGATGGCTCTATTGTGAATGGAGTTTCCTGAATGCAGGGTGTCATGGAGAATCGGCCCACTTTATTCAGCTCCCTAATCTGAGTTCTCATGGTATTGTGGCTTCAGATATTTGTGCTGAACAGTTTTGAAATAACAGCCCTAAAAGGGTGAAAGTAATGCCATTTTAATTAGTTGCATTTAAAAAGAATAAAACCAATTGGTTTTATTAAGTCGGTAGAACATAAAGTGTGCTTTTTAAAGTTAGACATTTTGAGACTGTTCACCTACATTAGAAATAAATATATTATTGACTGTTAAGAGTTCTGTTCATGCTACGTTAACTTTAGCTGGGTGTGTTTTTACATTAAATGAAATGGTTCACACAAAGATACATTTAGGAGATGAAAAAGGAATCACTTTTTTATGACGCTCAGAGATCTGTGAGACTACAAAATAATTCCCATAGTCCTTTCTCCTGAAAGTTCTATAGGGGCGGAGCAGTTCTTGATAGAAAACACTTATGATCAGGTTCTTTACATACTTTGACTGAATAACTGCAAATGTAATGGGCTAATATTGCACATCGACTCAAAACCTTGTATTTTGCATTAATTTTAACCGAAGTCCAGCGCTGCAAAGCCATTGCAACCACTGTTAACTGTAATGAATGTAAATTGTTAGAGGCATTTTTGTGTGTGTGAGGGAGACCCAAATCACTAAAAATATGGATTGAATCTGATGTTCTGGCCATACTTGTATGCCCACATGCTTCATTAAAATAAGCTCAGCCTTCTGCCCTTAGAAGACTGTTGTCACACCATAGCTATTAACTTAGTCTGTAAACTTAATGAACCTCCTAAAACCTGGATATCTGTTGTCCATTTTCCTGGTATCCATAATCTTAGTTGGGTACCATCATTACTTTTCTGCTAAGTCACTGAGTAATAAACACACAACAGCTTGCAAGTAGCTTCTTTTCAAGAAGGGACATGGAAAGGCATCCTGGTCATAACTCAGTATATATAAACTTCTTGCAGCAGCCCTCAAAGGAGAGATGGGTTTTGCACAAAAAAGTACTCCTGCATCAAGACTTGATTCTAATCAAAATCCCAAGGGAGGCAGAAATTTTCTCTCCTGTTACTTCTTCTTATGATGCTGTTTGTCCACAGAAGCTTGGGGAAAAACAGTCAGTCAATGACAACAACAAAAAAAAGCTACCTCATGACTCAAAATTTGATCCTATAAAGAAAGGTAACTTCAAAATGAGAAAAATTATACAGTAGGAGCTTCAGATATCATTAATGCTGTAGTTGGATCCTGTATCTGTCATTCATTCACTGTAGAATTTACCCTTTACATGCTTATTAAATAATCTTTAAGAAGCCAGGGCTATGTATTCTCATACCAGATGAATTGTACTGCAGGTTGGCAGTGCTACTGCAGCATTCACATGGCACACTCTTCTGACTTGCAGTACTTAGTTCCATGATAATCAGAAGCTAAAATGACCAGTTTAGGGTCCAGAATCAAGTCTCATACTATTACCATACCCACTGCATTAGCACTACAGCTGAATATCATACTGTGCAGCATAGGAGCAGCTTGTAAAACCTTTAGCCACCACAAATTTTTCACACTGTTGTATTTTCAATAGTGTCATTTTATATGATGTTTAACAACTCAGAAGCATTGAACAACACAAGTGTTTTCAGAGAGCTGTCCCCTTTTGAGGTTTGGTGGCTTTTAACATGTGTCTCCATCTCTGGAATTTACTTTGGAGTTCTGTGTGAGTTACTTTCAAAATATGTCTGGGTTAAATAGATATATGGTCTAGATGATGAAATCTTATAATGAAATGGCTATTTTTAGGATTATGGATGTCATTTTTTGGAGATGTGCGAGATGCTCGATCAGAAGATAATGAAAAGTAGAATAGCTATTATGTAAGGTTTTACTCGTAAAATTTATCATATTCCATGCAAATAGCTTCATTTGATTTAATGAGGAAACACTGGCAGCGGAAACACTGGCAGCAATTACATGAGGGGAAAAAGGCGTTTTAAAGAAACATGTTTATAGGCTGAGTTCAGTCACGTTTTCCAAATGTGAAAAATCACTGAGATAAGTACATTGAGATTGATTGAGTTATTCACTTGGGTTTGAAGTTAAGCTCAGACTTAAGTGTTTTGCTTCAACTGGAGGAATAAAAAGAAACTTTCCAGTCAGGGTGATTTTCCAAATTAGAAATAGGGGGGATTTGTTTGTTTATTTCCACATAAGAGGCTTAGTTAGTCCAAAAGCATTAGAAATAAACTTGGGCCGGTATATGAAAATAACTAAGATACAGACCCAGTGCCAAGAAATATGATTATATCAAAGTTCAGATCACCTTTGCTCAAGTATTAAATTGTATCTATCTATCTATCTACCAATCTGTGTATCTCTCTCTATATATATATGAATACACATGCACACACATTTTTTTTTTAAAGGGTTAATATGCTTTTGGAGTATGGTAATCATAGAATCATAGACTGGTTAGGGTTGGAAAGGACCTTAAGATATCTCTTCATGCATTCCTTTGGACCAGCTGGAGAGAGCGTGATGAACATGTTTGTTTTCCAGTGAAGAGAGATTAATTTTCAATTAAAAGCTGTTACTAAAAAAGAGAGAGAGAAAAAAAGAAAATGAATGCACCTTTCTGTGCAGCATTTGTGGTCTGCTATTGAATAATCCATCTGATAGCTTACTGTATGAATTTGAAAGTAATTGAAAAGAATTATGGAAACCTGCCCACATATTTTCATTATCTAAACTGAGAACAATTAAAAAGCTAAACAAAGAGCATACAAGATAAAAAATACTTCATTAATTTCAATCCTTATAAATTGCATGAATACAGAATGGAGAATGTGTTTTGTTTACCCGGATAGGTCCTTTGAATTGCTCAGTATCAGTGACTGCGTTTGTTTGCCAGGAGTGCAGTAGGGCTGTCCAGTTACGTGCTGTTAACATCTGCGTATTAAACATCTGAGCCCAAATAGTGCATTGTGGAGCTCTACCTCACTGATGCATCGTAACTTTGCATTTTCATTCCTTGCAGAAGGGAATCCATACACCTGGTGGGTTGGCAAAGCCAATGAGAAGCACTACTACTGGGGCGGATCAGGACCTGGCATTCAAAAATGTGCCTGTGGCATTGAACGCAACTGTACAGATCCCAAATACTACTGCAACTGTGATGCTGACTATAAGCAATGGTGAGTGGCTTACCATTCTCACCAAGGGTGAGAATGACCAGAATCTCTTTTAACTTTAGAACACTGCCATTATTTTGAATGTCTTTTGTTTACATATGTCCTCTCTTGACAAAGAACAAGGTCAAAATGTATCATTTCAGTTTTATTCACAGTACCTGTGACTGTCAAATATAAGGAACATATTTATGTTTTCAAGTCAACTGAGCTGTAGAAAAGAATGCTACAATTGGAAAGTCAAGTCCCAGTAGGAAAGGTCAGCGTTTTGGCTACCCATGCAACTTTGTTTCCATCATTGAATCAGAATGCTTTGGGTTGGAAGGGACCTTAAAGCTCATATAGTTCCAACCCCCTGCCCCAGGCAGGAACACCTTCCACTAGAGCAGGTTGCTCCAAGCCCCGTCCAACCTGGTCTTGAACACTGCCAGGGATGGGGCAGCCACAGCTACTCTGGGCACCCTGTGCCAGCGCCTCACCAGCCTCATAGTAGGCATTTTTTTCCTAACATCTATTCTAAATCTACTTAGGCTTTAGAGAGTATTATGGAATTAGGCTCTGTATTCCAGAGAAAGCTACTGCACTTTGGATGAGATAGTTAAATATTCATTGGCCTGTTGGTTGAGAATATAGCCCTTTTGGGATGAGACAGTGAGAATTGGTTCTGGTTTCTTCTCTAATAGTTATTGATTCATCCCAGGTAGAACAATTGTAACAGAGGGACTGAGGAAGCCCTGTCTGAGAGTATTTTACAGCCTGGTAACAGAGGCAGTCTGCTGTGAGGTTAATTGATGGGTGTTTAAACCCATTCAGGCAGAAAAGAGAATTAAAGCTGCATCTCTGATATTCCTCGTAACAATGAACCTACTGTGTATAGCTTGTCACCATTTTGTGTAAGACCCTGTCTGTGCTCTTAAAACGCTTCCTGTATAAGCTTTAACTGTTTGTGTCTCTTTTGTCATGAGGGGCAGCATTGTATTTTACAGGGTATGCAATGTTCAGTGGCCACCTGGAACCATACTGTGTGAACTCTTTGCCCGTTAATAGCAACCTGTTAGTAATTGAATCAATACTGGTTCATTTTGTGTTAATTGAGAAATTCATACAGCTATTAATATAGAGCTATAGTACTTTAATAGTATGCAAGGGATTTAAAAGGAAAACCAAAAAGTGTAGGGAATGACAGAACAGGTTGGAAGGGACCTCAGAGTTCATCTAGTCCAAAGCACCTGCTCAAGGAGGTCCACCTATAGACAGTTGCCCAGGACCAGGTCTATACAGCTCTAGAATATCTCCAAGGATGGAGACTCTGCAGCTACCCTGGGCAACCTATGACAGTGCTTGGTCACCCCCATAGTAAAGAAGTATTTCTTGGGGTTCAGAAAAAAAACTCCTGTGTTTGAGTTTGTGCCCCTTGTCTCTGGTGCTGGGCACCACTGAAAAGAACGTGGCTGTCCTCTTTGCACCCTCCCTTCAGGTATGTAGAGACGTTGATGAGATCCCCCTGAGCCTTCTCTTCTCCAGGCTGAATAGTCCCAGCTCTCTCAGCCTTTCGTCATAGGAGAGCTGTTCATTGGGCTCTAGTAATTTCATTTCTCTCTTGTACTGGTGGGCTCAGAACTGGCCACAGTACTGCAGTGTGGCCTCACCAGTGCTGAGCAGAGGGACAGGATCTCCTCCCTCAAACCACTGACAGCACTTTGCCTAAGGCAGCCCAGGATACCATTGGCCTTCTTGGCCACAAGGGCACATTGCTGGCTCATGTTCAACCTGGCATCCAGCAGGACTCCCAGGACCTTTTCTGCCAACTTGCTTCCCAGCCCCAAGCATGTTCTGAAGCAGGGGGTTGTTTTTCCCCATCTGCAAGACTTCACACTGCTCTCTGTTGAACTTCATGATACTTCTGTAAGCCCATTTCTCCATCTTGTCAAGGTCCCTCTGCATGGCAGCACAACCCTCTGGCATATCAGCCACTTCTCCCAGTTCAATGTCATCCAGAAGAATGAAGTATGAAAAATACAGAATTATAGCAATAAGGGAAATCTTCCAGGCCCTGCAAAAGTGATAGATTAGGATATGGGAAATCAAACATTGCTATAGGCATTGCCATGCTAAGCTCCGACATTGTGAGGAAATGCTGTTAGCTACAATCTGGGCAAATTATAGTACAACACAGAAATAGGGAAGTCAGTATTATACACAGAGGAATCAGACACGGTGACACACTTCAGAGCTAGAATTATATAGTGAAGAATATAGAGGGCCTACAAGAGTGCTGGAGAGGGCATTTGGCATCAGGGACTGTAGTGATGGGACAGGGGGTAACAGGTTTAAACTTAAACAGGGGAAGTTCAGGTTAGACATAAGGCAGAAGTTCTTTAATGTGAGGGTAGTGAGGCCCTGGCACAGGTTGCCCAGAGAAGTGGTGAATGCCTCATCCCTGGCAGTGTTAAAGGCCAGGCTGGACAGAGCCTTGGGTAGCATGGGCTAGAGTGAAGTGTCCTTGCTCATTGCAGCGGGTTCGAATGAGATGATCTTATGGGCCCTTCCAACCCTAACCAAACTGTGATACTATGACTGACTCAATAGTGTGTGGCAGGGGGGAGGTAGGTTTGGTTCTCTGCCAAATTGGTAACAGTAAAAGGAAGGCACTGTAATAATAATTAAGATAATGGCAGAATTAGGAGTACTTACGGTTTTCATTGCTTGAGGCACTGGATGTATATCCATGAATAATAGTCTCTATACCATATGTTGACTCTTTTAAGTTGAGGGCAATACATAAGGGAAATACCCCTGACTTTTGATCTCTTCTTGTGCCTACTTTAAGAGTCACAGATGATAATCTAATAAACAACATTCACTCAATATTACTTTTCTGTAATCTCTACTCTCCTTAATATGTACGGAGATTATATGGAATCTATCAATAAATACAATAATATAATTATTAGATTTTTTTTACTATCTAAAATAAGATGGCTGTCACAATAGATACATAGTTTTTACTCAGAACATCAACGAGAAGACATTTATACAGTTTCTCTGGATAGATATCAGGGTTTGGGTTTTTTTTGCTGGAAACTTCTATGTATTACATGACAATATATGACAAATAGTTATACAACTGGATATTATATTTTAATCTGTGGTGTTTGTAAAGGAGATTTTGTTCAAGATTCATTTTTGCAGTATCTAGCCCATTCCAAAGCCATCCCTTTTGGGTTTTGCATTTATTTTTACGGAGACAGAGTGGGGAGAAGGCAGTAGCTAGAGCAACTACTACATTACAAAAAGTAAAGAAGTAAAACAGAAAAAGAAGTTTGCTGAGGGGAATTGTGGGAATGAAAAGTGAAGAAGAAGGGAGAGATTCAGTGCGGAGATTCAGATTTTGAAGTGCAAGGCACTCAGTTTAAAGGAGATTGGGGAGCCGCTGAAGAGTGGGTCAGGCAGAATCAAAGTGGTGCACTGTGAGTAGAATATAGTTCACAATTTTTATTGTAGAAGTCAGAAATTGTGTTAGAAATGAAGAAAGGAAATGCAGTTTGATGAATGAGCTCATAGTGAAGGCAGGAGAATGCTCCCCTGGAGAAGTGGATTCTAACTTTGCCTCTGGAACCACATTCCTGTGTGATGCTTGCCAAGTTTCATAAGCCATTTCTTCACAGAGCAGTCATGAGTTTTATCTTAATTTTCTGGGTACCTAAGTGGAAACCCAGAGGTCCAGTTTGTGGAAACACCAAAAGTTCACAGCTGACCTGGAATAAGTGATCACTCTGTCTAAAACAGAACCTGATTCTCAAGAGAAGCCCGTGTTGTTGCTGCAATGTAAATATAAAGTAATCCTTTTTGTCATGATAAAGAAACAGAAACACATGTGGGAAGAGCTTCACCCAGAGCAATCCTGCCAAAATGAACCTTAGTCCCAAATTATCCATGATTTATGTCCAAAATCAAAGTTAATTTACAAGTGAATCAGATTATTTAAAAAAGATTACTTTTGCTTGCTAAGAAAGATCATTTATTAAAGATGATGTGGTTGACATTCAAAGTCAGATTGCGTCAGCTTTGAGAGAATGAGCTGTATTGAGGCTGCTGATATTATTAGCAAGAAATTCTCTGGGTTGCTGTTAAAGAAAACCTTTAAATGAGCAATTTTAGGTAAAATATAAGGCTTTAAAAAAAAAAAGAAAAAACAAACAAAAAACAACCCAAAACAAACCCCAAATCAACCACTGCCTTATTTGAATAAAAGTATTATTACCATTTCTGCAGTTCCTTAACAAAGGGCTGGCATTGTAGAGATAGACAAACTGTACCAGTTAAGTAGTAAATGTAGAGATCTGCAAAGAAATGTTGATTCTACTCTCGTTTGACCCTAAGGTCAGTTAAACACCCAGATTGGCCAAAGTTTCTGCACCCCAAGCTCCTTCCTTTTTCTTACATAGCAGCCGCAGTACGTGAGAAGACATTATGTGGTGCTTGGATTTACTTGGCATAAGATGCCCCAAAAGTTTCTTATGCCAGAAGTTTCTTATGCCAAAAGACGGCATCAGAAACTCTTTCCTTTAACGCTGCATTGTGAAGTTGCGCTTCAGGTTACAAAGTAGAGAGCATGGGCTTCACTGCTGACTGTTGATGTGACTTGTAATCTTTCAAGAACTATTTGGTAGCCCTAAGGATGATCAGAAGGGGTTAAGGTGAATTTTGAAGATTAACAGTGGTTTAGACACTTACAGGAAATGAGCAGTAAAAACAGAAGGAGGGAGCTTCATTTTGTTGTTTGTCCTCATTTGCCACTGTTTGGAAATCAACATTTCTTTCTCCTGAGCCTGCAAAAGTACTTTATTTGTGTGAGGTGTTTGCCAGAACACTGCAGGATACATCACCCCTTCACAACTCGTCTCCTACAATGGGGATTTCAGAAGAAAGTTTCAGGTCATGGGAAAAGACAGTGGAACGGGGCTCAGATTGACATGAGTTGTTTGAGTGACAAGAATATGTGT